CCAAAATTAGACCCTAAGTGCATGCTCAATTAAAGCGCCACTTTACCAACAAAGTTTTTAATGGAAAAGAGATTTGAAAAGCATTGTACAAAAAGCTGTTAAGTTTTGTAACGAAAATTTATTGGAATTTTTGTTGAGTTATTAAATTTATTGGGTTTGATAAGAAATCGGTGTAAGAAAAGTTAACAGAAAAAATTGTTAAGTGTGTCTAATATAAGGATAGTTATAAGAAATATTAATAGGGAAAATTATGAAGTGGGTCTATTACTGGGATAGTTCTAAGAAAAGCTTTTCCTTTCAAATTAAAATAGGTGGGAAGAAATCTTTACACATTAGGAATTTTGTTGAGGAAAATAAGATTTAAAAATGTTACTTTTACTTTTTTTTGTTGTAGTATTAATATGTAAGAATACATAAATAATCTTATAATAAGATACAAAGTTTAGAATACTTTATAAAGCAAAGTTCCTTTCAACCAAGCACCCCTTAATGGCCTATTTGGTTAGGCCCACTTTACTAGAAAAAGTTTTTCATGTGAAAGTGGTTTGGAAAGTATCGTATAAAAAATTATTAAGTTTATTTTACAATTTTGTTAGGTTATTAATTTTGTTGTGTTTAATAGGAAATTAATATTGAAAAAATTATTAAGAAAAGATATTAAGTGGGTCTAATATAAGAAAAGTTATAAGAAAACTTTTTTTTTTCTTTTTCAAAATAGGTGAGAAGAAATGTTTATGGGCTTTGAATTGTTTTAGTAAAAATAAATGCTCAAAATGTTACTTTTATTTTAATTTTATTATAATATTAATACGGAAAAATACATAAATAACTTTATAAGGGAAAAAGCTTAAAAAAATTAAGGGAGAATGTTAGCCTCCAACCAAACAGCCCCAAAGTTTTAGTAATGTTGGAAAAAAAAAATATTTAGTTAATTTTATTCAAATAAAGAAGTTTTAAAATCCATGTTATGTTTTGTAAAGCTATGCTAGTAGAACCAGATTAATTTGTTTTTGCCTAATGCATATAGGGTAATGATATACTAATAACCCCAACAAGGGGTTAAATGGTTAAGAATTTGAAATTTTAATTTAAAGATCTTAAGTTTGAGTTTTAAGTCAGGTGAAGATGGAATTGGAAATAGGGGATGACTATTTTCTCTTGTATGACACAGAATCAGATGTACTAAAAAAATGATATGCTATTAATCTATTAATATAATTTTTATTTGTAATTTTTAAATATTATTAAATAAATTAATTGCATACAAAATTATGAGGATAAGTAAAATGCAAAGAGCCCAATCATCAAGGGACATATAAAATTATATAAAAATATTGTATAAAAATGATGTCCTAACTCATTTTCCATATATATTTGAGGCTGTGGTGAGTTTGCTACTTATAACACTGGGATGTATGCGCATTAGAGTTCGCGGCTTGTATCTGGACAATAACAGTACTTTCTGCTGATGGACAAAAATGCAAAGAACGAAAAATTACAACCAATACTCCTACAAAAATGAAAATAATTAACAATATATTACACATAAAATTAATAGTAGAGATGTAGAGGATAAAAATTTAAAATTAATGATATAGTAAAAATTATATTATTAAATGAGTTGATATATATCATGGGTCTTATAAAAATAAAAAAAATTAATAATTAAATAATATAAATTTATTTTTTAATATTTTAAATAATGCAACTTATATTATATTTTTTTAATACTAAACTCTTTATATTTAAAAGTTGTATTAAATTTTAACTAATTTAAAACTTAATTATATCTAATTTTATAAAACGTAAAATTCTCCTAACACCAAACTCATTTTAGTCAAAATGAAACTAGTCATTAGTCTCTTTTTTTTTTTAAACAGTACACATTTTTGGGGATTGGAGAAGGGAATTTTTGAAGACATTGATGAAATTCAAGACCCCAACCAACTAACTTCAGTGCTTTAAAGGTCGTGAACAAACCACTTGACTCAAAAGCTTGGTTTTAGTTATTAATCTTTTATTATATTATTAATTTTAAATTTTAATTTTTTAAAATTATGAATTTTTTATTTTATAATT